ATATTACCTTAATAATTATTCGTGACAACTTTTTTAAAACGTCGCAGATAGTTAGGAGGGAATCTCTTTTTCTCGATGTTTTTTCAAAAACTTCGCAAAAAATTGCGAAAAATAGAAATTTATAATTTTTTTAAAATTTAAATATTAGATTATTCATTTTTGCGATCACATAAAACTATTTGCGACGAAAAATATTTGTCGTAAAAAATTATCAATTTCCGCCACTCCTCCCGCCAAAAATAATTAGGAGGGAATCTCCTTTTTCATGACGTACTTAAAAAAACGTCGCAAAAAATTGTAAAAATAGAAATTTGCTACAAATTAGAAAATCGTCACAGATAGTAAAGTTTTTGTGACAAATTTAAAATCATCGCAAAAAAAAATTTCACAAAAAATATTTTTTGTTGTAGTGATTTATGTTGGTCCAAATATCATCTCTTGGGATGCTCGAAAGCAAAAGACAGTCTGTCGTTCTAGTAATGAAGCTGAATGACATGATCTCGCCATAGTTACAGTTGATCTCACTTGGATTAAATCCTTATTATCAGAACTTGGAGTGTCTCTTCCTGGTCCTCCCATTCTTTGGTGCGACAATCTTGGTGCCACTTATCTCACTGCAAATTCTGTCTTTCATGCTTGCGCCAAACACATTGAGATTGACTAGATAGATATGAGAGAGAAATAATTTTAATATTAGTCAAACTTCTAAAATTTAAGAATTATTAATTTTCAAATTTGTTGTAATTAAATATAATTAATGAGAATATTTTGGATAATGAAGACCAAAATTGACTTAATATTAAACAAGTTTTTTTGATGACTTATCACCAAATAAGTTTTCAAAGTGAGACCGGCATCTAAATTTCCCAAATTTATAACTACTCAGTCATGTAATATATAACCATCTCTATGATAGGAATGAACCTCATTTTATCTATTTTTGTAGTTTTTATTGGATGGTTAGGTCCTTTTGTTTAAAGGGATAATGGTAAAAAATGCAACAAATAAATATTTTTAAAAAACTTTTATGTATTTGGTTAGTATGAAAAGAAAAATAATGGAAAAAAATAATCTTCATGCTTGGATTTTCTCATAACTTTTTCTTGTAAAAAACATAAGTAAATATAAGAAAATTATGATCTATAACTAACTATTCATTTTACTCTTATTTTTCTAAAAACATTTTGTTGGTTATTAATTTAAAAAAATTTTGGTATGAATTTAGTTAACCATATAATTTGGCCCAAAGAACTTCGTGTTGGTACTTGTCCTAAAATTAGGTTATGAGTTATTTTTTTAAAAATTAACTTTCAATTATAATACATATTTTTTTTCTTATTTAGACTGAATTAAGAGTAATTTAAACAATTAGAAAATTTTTTCTTATAACTTTTGTTTCTTTTAAACAATAGAATAATTTTTTCTTAAAATTTTTTTTTAAGTTTTTCATACTAACCAAATACATATATGAAAATATATTTTCTATAATTTTTTTTCTTTCACTTATTTTTACATTATTTTTTATCATTCTTTTCTTTCTAACCAAACGAACTCATAGAAAAAAATTATTTCCTAACAAATCACACGTACAAATAATATTGCTAATTACACCCAATATTTACCCTTGACAGAGGAGAAAGAAGGGGCTTGAAAACCAATACCTTGAGTTGGGTTCAACATTTCAAGTCCATGTTACAGTAAAAAAAAAACAAGGTTCGAGGTCACGAAAGTGTAACGTCTGATCAGGCTAAGGCGACAAGTGTTGATGCAAATTTATTTTTATTAATGAAGGAGCATCAGGAATTATATAACATGTGTAATGAGCATTAAATATGCCCACGTGGTAATGACATTATCAAAACACGTGAAGGTACAATGAGTCAATCAGAAAAATAACTTGCCGAACTGTCACTTGCTTGGCAAAGAAGAAGTAACAGCTCGGCTTTGGCAGATTTGAGCTCTACGTGCACGGCTTCGACAGAATCGAGCTCTACGTTTNCTGTCGAACTGTCACTTGCTTGACAAAGAAGAAGTAACAGCTCGGCTTCGGCAGATTCGAGCTCTACGTGCACGACTTTGGCAGAATCGAGCTCTACGTGCACGGCTTCGACAGAATCAAGCTCTACGTTTAAACAGATATCATCGTAAACGAATCACCACAATCAAGGGATTTATATAACTAGACCATGATTATCGGCTACGAAGGAGCTAGTCAATAGGGAGAATGTTAAGAGAAATTCCAACAAGTTTCCAAACAGAAACCCCGAATTGAAGCAAGGTGTGCCACCCTATATCGTTTACCACCAAAACCCAAGTGGGGGGAATCATTCCCATTTATTCTTTAATTACCAACTTAAGCATCGAACTACCTTCGATCGAAGCATCTCGATCCTTGTCAGTTTGTTCGTTTTGCAGGAAGGAATCAACAAACTTTGAATTCAGACCCAGAAAGGAATCGAACATCCTGGGTGCTTGATGGGGCCTGGGCACCTGGAGGGATTGCCTGGGTGCCAGTCTGGGCCAGGCATAGCTTGGGCTCTTGCAGGGGCTACGTGGGCACCAGGAGCTGTGGCACCTGGGGG